TTCTTTTTTACATTGTTTGATATTTCAGCTGATTAAGGCCAATAATACAGAGTAATCTGTATTTAATTATAAAGGCCACTTGTGTCACAGCTAGAAATCAAGGTTGTCCTAGCAACAGTAAAACACACGCACAACTGAAAAATGGAAATGGAGTCTATTATCCTGTACAAGACTAGCTGGCCAGTTGATTTAGAAAACAGTTTTATATAGTGAAAACAATTAACACAATGCAATAATGATGTTTTTCTGGGTTTCTGATGTCAAGTCTGCTGATAACTTACCTCCTATCATAGCATATTCTTGTTTTGTTAGAAGTGCTTTTTTCAGTCCTATTATTACTTTATCAAGAGTTCTGTATGGCCATGACAAATGAGCATTCTAAATAAATTCATAAAAATATGTAAAGCATATACTGAAAAATCTAGGAACAATGCATACAGATCTGAATGATGCCTTAATGCAGAAGACATTGCAAGAGATTGTAAATGATGCCTCTAAGATACTTGGAATATACACTTCAAACCAGATTTGCTCTATAGCTGGGTTGAAACAACTCATTAATCTGGCAACTTCTGAGCTAATAGCTAAAGTTGACCTTTGAGTGCCATGCTGGGAGGGACTCTGAAAAGAATATTACAAGACTGGTTGTCCCAGGGCTAGAATTAATCTTAGCCTGATGTACAAATAAAGATGCAAATACTTTCCTCACTGGCTTCATATGGAAAAAGGAAGTATGACTTGCGTAGACTGTTAGGCAAGGGGTGGGATTAGTGGAAGTAAAACCTTGCCTTACAGCAGGGGCTTAAATGAATGGCAACTAGCATTCTTCCTCATCTTCACGTTATCTGCTGGAAGCTACAGCCTAGCAAAGCTCTTATCAATGGTGCTGAGAGGCAGCATGGTGGCTCAGCACCAACCTACTGGATAGGGAAGTCCTCCGAATAGCATCTTTCAAGTTACAGTATCCCACTGCCCTTTCAGGAAGCATTGTTATTCCTGCTCCCACCAATGGTTTCAAAATAGCTGTTCCTTGACTACAGGATAGGAAGTTTTTTGCTGGGCTGTGAAACAAGTAGGAACCCTCCAATATTGCACAATGAAAACTTGTGGATCTGACACCTGTGGTACTCTCCTCACTCCTCTAACAACCATGTACCTTTGCTCATAAGAACTCCCTGAATGAATTCAGCTAAATGCCACATTAAAGCTTTTGCCATGCTTGGAATGGTGGTTTGATATTTAAAGAAACTGCTTCTTTAACAGTAGTAAGATGTTATTTTTAAATTTGTAATTGTGAAATTGGTTTTTTTTAACACTAACCAGCTAGTAGAGGTTTTAAAACACCATGCCAATAAGGTTATAAAGCCAACTACAGTGATTACCTTTAATTTTTGCAGCTATTTCACAGCCTCATCATAGTGAGCCACTTACAATATTTCAAACTTCAAGTACTCTGATAAGTGCTATTTTTTTCAGCTAAGTGCAAACCTCTTGTAAGTAAGCAACTCCTTTAAAGCAAATGCTGCATCCTAGAGAGGACACACTGGTTCTCATTATGCTATGTTATAGTAGGGCTTCCAGATATTAAGTACGTTTTTAAAGTTGAGACTAACTCAGCAAAAGTTTTTCACGTTGATTGGATATTCCAGAGAATGCCTAAGAAAGGTTGATTATCAACTTCTCTATACTAGAAGTGTAGACAGAGGGAAACTAACATATATAATGTGAGCCTTCTCTACTGTGATCTCATTTTGAGTTAATACCGATACACTTGTTAATATGGTTTGGAACAAAATAATCAGGTTTAAAATGAGTATATACCAAAAATGTGGGATTTATCAATACATAAGGAACCATGGATTTATCAAGCACAGTACAAAGCAAAAAAAGATTCTTTTGTTACTGTACCAACTAAGATCTATAGTCTTGAAGTGATGATGTGTTCATTTTCAACTTCTGGAGTAGCTGTCTGTTGATAATATAGTCTGTGTGATCTCTATTCAATATTGTATTTAAAAATGGTGGTTTTTGTTATAAGTTGCACAGCTTTTTCTGCCTTCCCTTTCCTCTTTTTCTTTTGTTTTTCTTTTTGGGCATGGATTTTTTTTTATTTTTGTATATTAATAAAAAGAAAACAAATTTGGGCTGTAAAAATCCAGACAACTACTAAGTGTCAACCAGGAGCGGTTTTCCATCTCTCTTTGGTGCCATCTAGTACTCATATGGTTTTCTGCAAGACAGCTCTGGTAGCTTTAAACTATTTGCTATGATAAATTTAATTTACTTCAGTTTTATGGGTTTGCAGAGCACATTGAACTAATATAGGTTCATACAACATGCTAGATTGAAATGGGGCTGGCAAATTTGTGCCTCGATGTGTTCTGTAAGCTGAGCCATAACATAGTTTATTTTGGCTTAGTGTGATATGTGAACCCAGGTATATAATCCTCTCAGTCTATGACTTGAGTATTGTGATTACAGAGATAAAAAATAGTCCAATATATGAATCTTTGGATTGCATTCATACAAAAACACCCTCAACTGGAAAAAGAAAGGGACAGAGAGAATCATTGAAAGCGGGGGGGAGGTATCTCTATGGGTTTGGAACTTGCTTCATCTATCATTAACGCACAAGCTACAGATTTTAGTGCAATTTGTCATGTGAGGCTCACAAAACTTGTACCTGCCAAAATCCATTTTTATACAAAGGTTACAAGGTATCTGAGATTGATTTCAGACTATCCCCCATTCTTAATTCCGCTGCTTGCTAGTTCTCAAACCTGTAGGTTGTGTTACATCAGATGCTAAATCTAAATGTCCATCTCTTGACCCAGAGTCTTCAGCTTCATGGGATGTCATCAAAGCAGCCACCTGTTTGGGTTTACCAAACCCAGAGTTTAAAATTTAATTTTAAATATAATTTAAATTAATACCATTTAATTTTGTAAAGACGTTCATACTTCTAAACTGCTCCCTGAGCAACCCCCAATTCACCCCAAACTATGGCAGCAAAACTGCTGGCTTTTAAGTCAAAAGATGAGATAATAGGTGCTTGACAATGCATCTCCTCTTTACCCTAGTAGCAAAAGGCGTTGTCCCCTGGTGACACAACACATCACAAGCCAGGCCCCTGGAGGCCAAAAATGGTCATCCACTCCTGCTATAAATCATGGTTTACAAACCACAATCACTGGGTTTGCACAACATGCAAAGGGAAAACCAAACAAAGGGCACGTCTTGGGACAGTCATTCTCATACTTCAATGAATTTGTGCATGAACAAAACAAATAGACACTGGGATTTGTAATACTCAAATGGACAAGCCTGACTACGATGCTTACTTGTGACCATGAGGGTGGGGGCTGACCTGCAGTTTGAAGTCTGGGCTTAGTGTAATACATGAACCCTGTTGAGGGTCAACCTCACACCCCCTAATTGCAGCATGAACATCCATGACTGTTGTTGGGTGTTCTCAGGGTGATACCTCCTTCTCATCACAGGCCACAGCTGAGTCAGCTTAAGATCATCTTCAGCTGTTTCAGTGTTAAACTACAACAGTGTTTTCTCTGCTGTTTGCTATGGACTTGACCTAGAGCACTTCACTGATGTGGTTGATGGGATCTGCCTGGTCTGTATTGGCCACTTTAGGCTACTGCAGGCATGGTCCCTTGCCTCCAGAGTTACCCTCCATGACAGGCAGACCAAACCCTGATGGCTTCCACAAAAATATCTTCCCTGCATTATGCCTGACTGGGACATTTCATAGTGCTTGTCAGGTCTTGTGCCAGCTCCTCATATACATGGGTTTTAGGACTATTTTGAAAGAGTTCTCACCTGTTTTTCAAAAGCATAAACATGCCTTTGAGACATCAGTAGTGGTGTCCTGCATGGAACTCACTTAAATCAGGAAAAGAGCACCAGGTCTGTTGCCCATTTGTTCACCAATAAGTGAACAATGGGCATCATGGGCAAGGGAGCAGTGACTACACCGCCATATTGTCCTGACAATTCACAGACTGGAGGAAAGCACTTTGATGTGGCCATCTGGCTGTGCCTTCAGAGAGAGTTAGGTACTGCCAGAGAAGAAAAGATGCATGGAGGCAGCCAATCAAATGGCCCATATATCCAGTTCTCCAGAGCAGATGGCCAGCATCTTTCTGGTCTTCACCATCCCACCAGTATATGATACAGCTGTGTAGGAAAGGAATGAGACTGATTAGAAGGCAAAACAAAAGTCAATCACTGTTTGAGGTTGTTTTTGTGGCTTGGCATATGGCAAGATGGCAGTTTGATAAGAGTAAATACAGTTCTGGAACCAACATTTCTGAGCGCATAGGCGTGATCCCTGCAAACCATACACATCTTCTGCACAACACACAGCGATTCCACCCCCACCTGCTTTCCAAGCACACGCACAGAGGAAATCAGGAGCTCTGCGCAGCATATGGAGGACACTGAAGAAGGCCAGCATCTTGGTTGTATCTTTGTATACATGCCCAAGACTGCAATACCCCCCCCCTTCTAAAAATTCTAGAGCAGACTTTTTAAGCCTGCTGGGGTAAAGCTCCCACAACTGAAGCCAACTTGATTTATCACGTTGGGTGTTCTAATTTACCACACCTGGAGTCTGCCAGTGCAGCAAAAACAGACTTTGTACTGAAAATTACTGAATGAGCTTTCACTCTGAACAGATTCCAGGGCTAATTCCAATATTACTACGGGAAAAGAAAGACTCGCTCAGTCTCAAACCTTTGTGGGCCACCTACCTGCTCCGAGTTAAAGTAGCGAGCAGGATCACTAACGTCTACGCCCCGTTGGCAGAGATGAAAAAGGGTACTCCCCCCCATCAGCCAATAATAGGCAGCGAAGGTGGGACAGCTTTGGCTGCTAGCCAATTAGAGCGCAGCATCAGGATTGCGCCTCCTCTGTCCCTCCAGCTCCCCTCCCCTCTATTTCAGCAGCTGCAAGCACCAAAAGCTTCGCAGAAGAGAAGGAGGAGTTTTAAGCTGTTGTTTTGGTGAGCGGCTCGCTCGCTCTTCGCGGGGTTGGTGCCGGCGTTCGCCTGCGAAAAGCGAGGAATCGTTTCGGGCGGGCGCGCGGGCGGCTGGGTTCGTCGTTCTGTGATGGAGGCTTTCCACCCCAGCAAGCTGGAGAAGCACCATCATCACCATCAGCCGGTGGAGTTTTTGCAAGGAGCCGGCAGGTACGCGAGTAAGAGCCACAGCGCCTATGGGAACGCGTTTAACTCGTGGAATGATTACCTGGGGCTGGCCACTCTGATTACCAAGGCGGTGAGCCAGGAGAAGGGCTTTAGGACCGGATCCCCCTCCGTGGTGGTGGCGGCGGCCGTGCAGCAGGTCCCGGCGACCGAGGAAGGCGAAGAGGAGGACGAGGAGGAGGAGGAGGAAGACGACGACGACGACGACGAAGTGGGAGCCCCTTATTTCGAGAGCTCCCTGGATTTGCACGATTTTGACTTGTGCAGCCATCACCACCTTAACCCTAGCGAAAGCCTGCTGGAGGAGCGTTTCGCCGATTTTAGCCCCTTCTCTGGCAGATCCAGCCCGGCCTCGGTTGTGTTCAACTGCTCCCCTGACCATCTGGAAAGAGATCGCTCGCCTCACGCTTGGGGCGGCCGCCTGGTGGTCGATGGTCGGCTCCAGGCTCCCCAGAAAAGCGCCTCCAGGCTGCTCAAGCCGGAATTGCAAGTCTGTGTTTTCTGCCGGAATAATAAGGAAGCCGTGGCCCTCTACACCACGCACATCCTTAAGGGACCCGACGGCAGAGTCCTATGCCCGGTGCTGAGGCGGTACACATGCCCTCTCTGCGGAGCCAGTGGGGACAACGCGCACACGATCAAGTATTGCCCCTTGTCCAAAATGCACGGCAGCGCCCCCAAACAACCGCTCAAAAACGCCCGGCACATTCTGGGCAAGAAGCTCCGCTAGGGGGCGCTTCTCAAGCCTCGGGCGCGTCGGTGTTTGTCGAGACGGGACTGCGGATCAAAAGCATCGGATCGAGGGGAAAAACCCGCTACGATTCGTTCTTCTCTTTCTGTTCTCTTGCGCGCGTGTGCCCTCTACAGGGATATAAAAAGGCATTCCCTTTGGTTTTTTTAAAACAATGATTGTACTCAAATGTTTCTTAATATATTTAAATATGAAGACGTAGAATGTACAGAGAGATGTTCTTGATTTATGTATCAAATAATTGAGTATAGTTTCTAGTTTGTATATGTAGTAGCCAGGGAGCCTGGCCTCTGAATTAACTCTAAGAATTATAACATACCGTTTAGAGGTACTGTATTTGTTTATTGTGAAACTTACCTAATTTTTAAATGGGACTAAGGATCTCTCTTAGGCATATGCTCTATTTGCTGTAGCTTTGTTAAATATTCTTGGCTGGAAAGGGAGCACTCTTGAATAAAGAAAAGACTATCTTTAAACATGTCTGAAAAAGGCAGCATAACACAACTTTCAGTGATAACATGTACCATTCAAATAATTTTTAAGGAGCTGTTTGGCTGGTCCTACAATGGTTACAAGGCAAGGTTGGAAAGGTCACTTATTAAATGTGTTGAATCGGCATTTGCTTCCTTTGCTGTCTTCATTGTCTTCAAGCAATGTTTTGATTATAAAAAGGGGCTCCACTGTTTGTATGCTTATAAGTTTTATAGTTTAGAAGTCACCTCTTAACCTCTGTTTCAAGCACCTGCATGCTTTGAGGTTTCATCCATTGCCTCATTCTTTTGTATTTTTTTTTCCAAATACCAGTTATCTCCAGTTGGCCCAATTGAGACAACCTGATTGATCTTTGTGACACCTTTACTTCTATTCTTTGTTCCTGACTTTTCTCCACCATCACTTCCACAGTACAGTTTTGCTCCCCCAAGACGGGCCTTGCTCTTTCTCCACCCTCCCCCCACCCCCAGTGTGTTAGACTACAAATATGTGTACCTGGCCTGGGAGTTGTAAGCTGGATGGCAAAAAAATCAGTCTGGTAGTTTATGCCTTTTAATGATAGATTATGATAGTGCCTTTTCTAACAAATTTTATTAAAAGGTATAAGCTTTTATGAGCTGCATGCCACATAGACAGAGTTCTTATCCTACAGTGTAAGCTGGATAGTATCAGAATGGCAGCTTAAGTCAAAAAATTCATTCTATAAAAGCAAGGAATCAGCAAAAACATCCCTGTATAATTGGGGGGAAAGGGCAGATTAGTTGTCTCCCTAATCAATGCCTTTGCAACTAATTACCAAAAAAAATGTATTATTTGTAACTTGAGAAATGTGTAAATCAGATATAAATCCACAAATGGTACTTGTAGTGGTAAAGACGGTTACAACTGTTTCAAACTTTATACTCTTTTTCATTCCCCCCCTCAATGTAGTTTGATACTGGTTTCCACCATGAAAGCCAAAATGTTTCAAACCTTCCAAAGTTTTTTCCACAACAGGTATAGTTAATGCCTACTAATTATGCTATTTTATGTTTTAGTTTTTCACATACAGTAAGAGTAGCATACCATATTTTTAACAAGTTACATGTTGGTAATAAGGTTGAAACTAGTGCTGAAAAACTAACAGCAGCACTTGTTAGTTATTCAAACAAATTGTTTATTGCTTACTTTACATATATATAATCACACAGCACAGGAGGAGATTGGTACACTTCAAAAATATTTTAGCAGGTTTATATTAAGTGCTACCTGAAATCTCTGTAGGAGTTCCAAACTACAGAGAATTCCACTGAAGAGTACCAAGTAAAGGCTGATCTGTTTTCTGTGCTAACCATTCTATTTTTTTCCAAGTAATTAAAGATTGTATTAGTTTTTACGATTGTAATTATAAACTAAAAGAAAGATAGGAAAAATAGGAGTAAAAGGTGCAAAGGGGAAAAAATAGGAAAAGGCATATGGAATAAAAAGAATAGAAAAAGAATTTTAAAAAAAGCAATACATAAAGAACTCCCAACCCTCATCACAAGTAAAAACAATTTTAGTAACTTTTCATCTCCTAATTTACAACAAATGATCTCTTCTTCCCATATCTCATCTCTTATCTATAAACAAATCCTTAAAGCATCCTTGTTTAAGTTCTGGTGTCCACAAAAGTCCATTAAGGGTTACCAAAAATAACAAATTTATTTTAACCTTGATCAAATAAACCAACTTTATATTCCTTCCTTTTACTTCTAACAATCTTAAACTTTAGTCCATTCAAATACTGTTGTAGAACTTGAGTTGTTTTCATTTTTTCTTTCCCTTCTCACAAAATTCTTCAAAGCTGTAACATGTTTCTTTTGTAAATCCAATATAGAAAAATTATCCAGGTCACTCTTTTGGTTGTTTGTATGTCCCTTTTAATTATTAAACCATCAGCCAGTTTCTTTTGTATGTCCAGTGTAACATCTTTTTCCATGTCATGCTTGTAGCCTGTCATTTGTAAATCAGGTTTCAATTCAGTCTGTCTTGTCAGGTAAAGCTTGTTCCTCTTCCATAACATCTTTAGACAGTCTATACATAGAGGCAGACACTATTACTAATTTTTTAGTCCATTTTTTGAAAATATCCTTCAATATTTCTAGTGGTAAGAGTATTTTGCACCATTCTGTACTGTTGTAAAGTTTATATGTTGTTCTCCTTTAATTGAAATCTTTAGTTCCCTCTAGTGTCTAATTTTTAAAATCTTATTTAAAAAAAAATCAAAACAAAAGCATTTTCCCACAGGAAGGCTTCTTTATTATTAATTCCGAAATCTCACTTCAAATTTATCTGGACCCTTAGTCCATTTGTAGCTTTCTAAAATCATCAAGCTTTTGATGTTTATTTTTTTTTAAAAAAAATTTTTAGTTCTTAAGTTTTTAGTTACATTTTTCTTTCATAAAGGAATGATAACAGACTCACCTGTAATTTTCAGATTTGTCGCTCCAAAGGTTTCTAATAGCTGAAAAATAGTTAATAAGCAATTTCTCTCCCAGTCCTCAAAACCCACCAGAGACTGCTGTCTTGCAGTCTCCTCACGAGAAGCAACTGTCTGGAGCACTTGTGGGCAATCTCTAGTCCTCTCCTTTATCCAGAGAGGTTCAAAGAGCTAGTCTGCTCACCGGCTCTTCGCTGCAGTCGTCGGCTCCGCGAACTTCAGTCCGCCATTCTTCCTCTGGAAGTCCTGTGCTAACCATTTCAGAGTAGAGAGTTAGCTCATACAGGATAACGCTTTCTTGAAGATGAATGCTCTTTATAATCCTATGCAGCAACTGTTAGAACAATTTTGCAAGTTTTCCCCAACTATGTGTCCTACAATTCTCATTATCTTCAATTATTTTAAAGCAACTAAAAAATTACAGTCTGGTGCCCTCTAGATGTGTAGACATTGTCAAGAATTCTGGGCATTAAAGACCACACATGAAAGCACCAGCTGGGGAAGGCTAGTTTATTGATAGAATGTTTCTTTAAAATAAGAAAGCAGACTGGGGATAGGCTCTCAGAAAAACCTATGGCTAAATACTGCTTGCGAGTTAGCATGTTGTGTGAATCCAACCAGTTTTGGTCATTTAATAAGCAAAGTATATGCAAATAATGGCCTGGCAATTCTATGAATACAGCTGCATGTTTCTAAAACTGGGAATTTTTGAGTGAATGAGCATCTTTATGTTGAATTCAGTTGCATTATTTACAGAGATGGATTATTGTTGCTTTTCATTGTTTTTGTTTTCATGGAGACTTAGAAGATGGCATACAACCAAACTACAAGGGTGGTGAAGGCTTTGTATATTTCCTTGCAAAAGGAAGAGGGACCATATAACCTTTGTTTTAAATAGATGTTTCAAACTTTTGCTGCCTTACTTCCCTCCCCATGTATAATTTTAAGTTTTTAAGGTTTTTTTTAGAATGAATTCTCAGTCTATGTGTATGAAGGCACCTGCAGGCTCTTCAGTGGTATTCCTATTGCAAGCCTGCTTTGCATATTTGCCCTTCAATAATAAAACACTGAAAGATGTGCAGTACTTTTAAGAAGATAAGGTTTGTAAATATGAGTTTAGAACACTGGGAATAAAAACTTTGTTTAGGAACTTATTATCAGGTCCTTAAAATAAGACCTATTATATTTAATAGGCTTGATTCCCCTAATAGTGTTACAGAATTAGTAAAAGAGAAATCATTGGGAGTCTGCAGTCCTGACTTGTACAAATGAAATAATTAAACTGTCTTAAAACAATTTACAGCCAGGAGGAATCTGACAAAAAAGTGCATTCGATCTTCATACTTGGTTTTGTTGGAAGAGGCACTGATAGAATGCAAGCCAAGTTTGGGGACATGGTTAATAGGCCTTGGAAGCTGTTTTCTGGTTTAGGGGAAGATTGCTTTTATTTGTTTCAAAAATTTGACTTTAAATGAAACAAAGATATTAAGCCTTCCACAACAGTTAAGTTGTACTGACTTCTAGGTAGACATGTATGTAGAGCACATGTTTTTAAGGTTTGTGCAATATATTAAAGTTATAAAAGTTGATTGAGATGCATCTATTTCTGTAATGTAGCAAAACACATATTTCTATCCTACATCTGTAAAAATAAGCAATTTTTATCAAGTTGCAACTGACAATGTTTTTTTTTTCTCAACTACTGAAATCTGTACATCAACTTAGTAATTGAAACATTACCCCAGAATGGAGATTTAGCATCTTATATTCTTAGCATAATTCCTTGAAAGTAATTTTTACTCAAATAAATGGGACTGTGCATTTAATATTTTAAGATTAAGGTTAAATTAGTTGAGAGAGAAATATCCATGTTAGTTTGTTCATGTGTTTGTCCCATTCATCTACTGAGCAAGTGGTATGGAAGCTCATTTTTGTAACACAAAGAATTTATCGATGAATAAAAGTTTAATTATGTTATACAACCCAAAGCCCAGTTCAAAATGCTTGAGTTTGCCAGGTGCACAATAAAATGCATATGAAAGTGGACTTGGGTGTGTGGGCATAAAATATGTTCCCTTAGAGTTTCCTATATAAGTCTCAGAAAAATGCTATTTGGATACTACATATTAACATGTATATCAGCTTTTTTGGATAACTTAAAAGCACACTCTTGGTGTCCTGTTATAAATTTGAGTGTAACAGAAACCATTAGAAATGGTCCTAAAATTGTCAGGACAAACCATTTTGTTTTCAGACCAGAGGCTTATAGGAATCATTTCTGAAAATAATTTTGCTCTCAGATACAAGAAGAATAGAAACAGACACCTCACACTAAAATTGTTTACACAGTCTGAACAATAAAGTATGTGAACATTTGGTGAATCTAATTTTTGCATACTTGGGAGAATTCATAATCACCAATAAAGTTTATCATTGTGTTACAAGTAAGAAACAGTGTCATAGGGACAAATAAAGGCATTTTTCTGGAAGAAAGTGTCTTAAAATTCTTTGACCCACCTGAAGGAAGTTTGATGGTTGCTTGCCTAAGGATACAAAGAAACATCATTCCAGGTATATATTACACTCTGATAAGAAAACAGGCGGAATGTTTGATTGGCTTCATTTTGTATTTGCTCTATCATAATTGTTTTGCTACTGCAGGATTTTTATAACGTACTCCTGTACAGTCAGTAATTTTTTCAAAAACTAGGATGAAACGTCGCTAATTATGTTTTCAATAGTGAAGGGATTCCTTGTTATATGGAGGTGAGATGGGAGCTTTATAGCACTTCATGTTGTTAACCTATTTTTCTACCCATGGTAGGGAAGCTCAAAGAGCAGAAACAAGTAATGGGAGAGACTAAATACATTTATATCACTACACAGCACTAGAGTTATGTATGAAACATTTCAACAAGTAGATATAAAAAAAACTACTTGCTTACTCTAGACAAGTGTAAGTGACTGCCTTCTCAAAACATCATCAGCAATCATGGCAGCTTGTCAACATCTCCAAATATTCAAATAACTTTGCATCTGATTTGGTGCAGCAAAGACATAAAGGGTACAAGAACTATATTTAGAGTCTGTAAAATTCCCAAAAGCAAAACATAACATTTTGTTTTGCTCTCATCCTGTTTTGCTTCAGTATTACCAAAATGTTGGCAGCTTCATTTCATATCTACAGTTGTGGAATGAAAACTCTTCTATCTTGATGAAATAACATTTCACTTGCCAGGTGACAGCATTTGGCTAAACTTCTCTGGACTTAAAAGCTAAGCAGGATCAGGCTTCTCCAGTACTTGGATAAGAGCCCATCAGAGAAATCTAGGAAGAAAGCAGTAGTAAACTGCTTTTTACAGTTGCCAAGAAAACTCCATGGATGTACCCATGTGGTCACTGGAGTTAAGCTCAAGTAGGCAGGTTTTTATCTTTTTTTAAAGCTATTGTCAATGAATAAGGACATTAGATACCAAACAAATTGCTAAAACATCCATCATACATATATAGCAGTTTCATATTTCACTCTAATAATTCATTGTGTGGATTTATACACAGGTTGTCACTCAGTTACATATCTTTTGGTCACTTGAGCTAATTATCTCTTTACCAAGACTTCTGCATTCTGAATGCTTTAACTTTACTTTCACAAGGGAAGAGACAGCACTAATCACTTCTATGCCTGAAAACAAAATAACCACTAATATTTATAATCTAGGTAGGTACTGTTATTTCAGAGCAGGAACATTTTTCCAAGGTACTAGAATGTATGCCATCCCAGTTTATAGAGTATGATATATTACTTAAAAAGGATTGTTTTGAGTCATTATCAATTATTAAAATTCGGAAATAGTGGGTGAGCTTATTACCAAATCACCTCCAGTGTTTTTGTGATTCTTCCTATAGTGTTTTTATGTAAGCCATCCAGAATCTTATGATTAGGTGGCACAGAAATTCTGCTAAATAAATATAATATTGCTCATTAGCAGAAGACAACATCAGGATAACTTACTTATGACCTTTCTGTGACAGTTAGGTGCTAAACTCGACTGACAGATGAGAATTTGTCAGCAGTACTGCTTTTAGGAGAAAAAAACACAGCATTTCATTTATTGTTTCTAATGAGATTCAACATTTTGAGATTGCATGTAATAACTGACTTTTCTAATTGATTCAGTAGTTTTTAGCTCAATCAGGTCATGTTCAGTCAAAATTACATTTCACTGTATTTTGTTGTTTTATACCACTATTGTAATTGTTTCATATTTGTGCAAAACCATTTTTTTGTCCAAATGAACTCTTGTTTATCTTAAAAATCCAATATTCATCCAGATTGTTTCCGAATTCCCCAGAAAAGTGAGACATGCTCAAAAGGTAGCCATTTAACAAGATAGCATTTTTACAGGTTTTGTGCAATGAAGTGTAATATCTAACCAAGCATTTAACTGTTCTCTGTGATCCTCACTTGAGGATCTATTCTGGCTCTTTCTTCAGGCTTTTTTTCCCCGAGCTGGTTCACATTGGAGCTACAGTAGAATCCAAGCAGAAAAAATAACTCTAAAGATAGTAACTATCTTTATTAACTTGATTAAATTAAATTAATTTAGATTTTGTCCTGATTCTTGGAGTGTAATTCCAAATGTATCACTCAAACTCCTGGGATAAAACATAATGCTATTAGCAAACTGGACAAATGTTAACATTGCCAGTGGTCTATTTTTCAGGTAACAGTTTTCATTACTGAATCTTTCATCCAATCACCATGTTTACATAAAAGCCTACTATGTTTGTATTGACATAAGTGCAATGCAATTTACTGGCATTTAATTTACAAACACAAATTTATTCCTCCCAAAGGAAATTTGGAGTTTTTTTTTTACAAATGCAGGAGACATTGGGAACAAAAAGGAAAAAAGTTTCTTGATGTCTATCATAGCTATATAAGGTCCCTAAACTTATATCTAACAATGCAAAATGGCATTCCTGTCTCAAAACATAATACTTCAGTGATATAAATTAAGAGAAGGACAACCAAGAAGTCTACACTTATTTCAATTAAAATGAAATTGAGAATATGAAAAAGACACTTGCATTAATTTTTACTGAATTCTCAAGTTTTTGGTGTTTGAATTTATTTGCACTCTCTATCCAACAACCACTCAACTATTTAAAAAGGATATTTATTCACTGGGTAAAAGGCAGCTAGAAGAATAGATATATAACTTTCTACATCAGACTAGTTCCTCAAATATGTTAGAGGAAAGATTATGCAAATATGCAACATCAATTAAGAAGCCACAACAAAATACCAGGTTAGTTTTTTAAGTTTATTTATCATTGAAGTTAACACATAGCAGCAAGTCCTGTGTTGGCTTCAATTAAAAACAATCACTAACATTGCTACTTCAGCCCCAAATTGAAGTCAACCCACTCTTACTACAAAGCACTTGGTTTAAAGGTAAAGCACTTACCCTGAAGACAAGAAATTCAGAAGAAAAGGAGGAGTGAGTGGTTCCTCCAGATCATGTATATGAAATGACACTATATAAATGTTTCAAAAGGCAGAGATTACCAATACCAGAAAGAGCAGTGTCTATACACAGCAAGGAACAAAAATGCTCAGCAATAAGATTACTCAAATGCTTTCAATTTTAAAAGCCTGTTGTTTCGATACTACTGTGGCACTCATTGTGAAAGTAAAGACTGCAAAATGGCTTGATAAGACTGTGCATTCAAGTAGAATCTACCAAAAAAAAAAAAATCCCAGCATAGCTAAAAGACCCATGACATTTATTCTATATAAATCAAATTAAAACATACTGAATCCAATAATACCACCAGCAATAGCCTCTGCCATCAAAATACCAATTTTAGACTGTACAGCCTTACAAAGTCACTTGTTTATGGATCCAGAAACATTGTTTTAAACATATGCTTTGCAGGCCATATCCATTTTAAGGTGTAAGGTTAGTTAACATAAAAATCAGATTTGTTTTTGACTGAGATGTACATGCCACTCAAAGATACCTATAGAATTTGTGTTTTTTATTCTTACCACCAAGTGATCTGTGACATACAATTGAAATTTTAGATAACCAGTATTTAATTTCCAACTATTAGTTGTAAGTTCTGTGCATGATCAGTTTGCATACAAGTAAGAGTTTCATGCTTTCATATTCCTAGAAAACTTTGTTAAAGAATTCAAATTCAGACTCTTAAAGCACCAATATTATAATCTGTTATCAAATCAATGCAAAACACCAATTAAAACCATGTTTTGGTTTTGAACTTAGCGTCGTACAGTGGTCCAACCATCTTCATCAGTTTCATTTTTAGTGCGACGAAGGGATTCTCGGTCTTTTTCTGTTCTCCAAGGCCCCTTCTCTTTCTCACCATCTTTTTCTCGCTCTTTGGAAACAGAAGGACCAGGAGTAGGAGCAGCAGTAGGTGGCCTTCGAACTGTTTCACGTTCTTCACGTTCTTCCTTTCTGTCATCACCACGTCTCCATGAGCTCACTGAAAAATAAAAAGCAGTATTTCAGCTGTATTTCGTTCACTGGGCTATATAATGATCAAAATTCAAAACAAATAGTTTAATCTGATTAGAATTAACATCTTGGAGGAACTTATGGTGTAATGTTTCTATTACAGGAAGAAAGAGTAATGAAGCATGAACCACAGAACAAAATTAAGGAATACGAAGTAATCACTTTCAATTGTTAAGAGTAACTAATATACTCTACAATTTAAGACTATAAAATATTGTTTTACCAACAATGTTTCAGAATATACTGCAAATTCAAAATGTGGGTTATACATATTACAAAAACTGGAAATATTAATGTACTAACTGGAAGAAAATAATCATGGTGTGACAATTGAGATCATAAAGTTCAACCCATTATATATAGATTCTGTGCATGAATCCACATTTAAGTATTCCTGATGAACGTCTAAATTTGCCATTTTCAGCCTATTTCAATAACCCATCAAGATCATTTTGAATTTTTTGTCTTCTAACATGTTAATTATCCCACCCCATTTTGCATCATCTGAGTAGTTGTAAGTGTTCTTTCCATCTCTCCATCCAAAAATTAATAAAAATACTGAAGCAGGCCAGTTCTGAACATCATGTCATCCAACTGAATATTTCATTCCATTACAGTTTCATGAGGACCCACTTATGAGCACTCTATAATTTTGAATCAGCTATGTATCCACTTAAGTGTGATGGCATTCCTTCCAGACTTAAGTAACCTGTCAATCATAATGACAATGGATAATCTGTCAAATGCAATGTTGAAATCAAGGTATGTTTACTACAGCATTTAAATTCTGGAGTATACACACACACACACAGGGTTTTATATGTAGTACAGTACACAGATCTTCTGTGTACACATGGCTTTATTCTAGTCTACAATAAAGTAATTAAACTAGCTGATTGTGTCTGAAGGTTTGTGGTCAAGAAGCCAATTCCTGAATAAAGGTTGAGTATCTGGAGGACTGAGATTTCTAGCTGTGCCTGGGATAAGCCTGACCCAGACAATTCCTGAAACTACTGGCAAAACGTAGGTCTCCTCTTTGACTTACTCAATGAACTTATCCCCCTTGGCCTTATATTCTTCCTAACCATGGCTTACTCAGTAGAAAGGAATCAGCACTACCTCACAGGGTTGCTCTTGTGAGGAAAAATAGGAACAGGGAGTGTTATGCAGCCACCTTCAGCTCCTGAATGAAAGGCTACATCCTCAACAGTCAAACAGCAGCTCTTGGATCACCCCTAACCCTAACCCTTGCATTCAGCAGCTAGGCAAATGACCTTTTTAACCCCAACAACTGGGCACATAATTCCTCAGAATACAGAGATTCTCTGGTCTCTTCCCTTCTTCCTTATCTCCTTCTGTTGAACTGTACTAGCAAACTCCTGGGTTTTTTTCCTGGTCACTTATACAATATGGAATACTCAGTATTTGCAAAACAGCCAGCACTAGATTTTCTACTCCATAATGAAAGGGATTCCTGATGAAGTAATATCTTAATATATTTGTTTTACTTTTAAAAAGCATAAAGTGTAGTTTTAAACAGTGTCAATATCTCCAGTAATGATACCTGACAGATAAAATTGATTGGATTTGCACTATATAGACCTTATAGCAGGTCCTGTGGAGATGACTGGGGCACGGTCTGGCTTGGGAGGAGTTTCATCGTGTTGGGCCTGAGGAAGTAGACAGAGTTCTGTCAGCTGTTAGCTCAGACACCTCTGTATTAAATCCATGTCCCTCCTGATGGCCTCCCTGGAGGTGACATGTGGTTGCATCTTGGCAGTGATTAATTCCTCTTTGAGAGAGGGTGGTTCTACCATCTCTTAAGGAGGTGGCGGTTTGCCCCCTTCTTGAGAGGCTATCGCTGGATCTAATGGTACTGGACAATTTTCATCCAGTTTCCAACCTTCCCTTTCTGGAGAAGGTGCTTATGCAGCAGCTTCAAAGATCTAGAAGAAGTGGATCATCTGGACCCCTTTCAGGATTCAGGCCCAGGTATGGGACCAAGATGGCATTGATCGCACTTCTAGATAACCTCTGGGAAGAGTGGGATGGGGGTGGTGCATCCATCCTTGTTCTTCTTGACCTCTGAGCAGTTTTTGATACTGTTGATCATAGTATCCTTCAGGAATGGCTTTGGGTGTTGGGAGTGGATGGCACAGTGTTGTGCTGGTTCTCCTCCTTCCTCCAGGCCAGTTCCAGTTGGTGTTGATAGGGAAGGAGATGTTCAGCCCACAGCCCATTATGTGGAGTTCCACAGGTTTTGGTGATTTCTCCTCTCCTGTTTAACATCTACATAAAGTTACTGGTGAGGTCATCTGTCAGTTTGAGGTGAGGTATGATCTGTACACTCTGTTCACAGTCATTCATGCCATAGTCACCTCCTGTTTATTTTACTGCAGTTCTACATGGGGCTGCCCTTGAACAGTATTTGGAAGCTTCAGCTGGTGCAAAATGTGTTGGTATGGGCAGTTATGTGATACCTCTGCTCCATGAGCCACACTGGCTACCACTATGCTTCCTGGTATAATTCAAGGTGCTGGTAGTTACCTTTAAAGCCCTTCATGGCTTGGGGCCACCTTCAGGACCATCTCTCCCCATTGGTGTCTACCCATCCTGGGAGATCCAGGACAGGTATGCTCTGGGTCCCATCTATGAGAGAGTGCCATCTGGCAGAGCCCAGGAAGAAAGCCTTTTCTGCCATGACGCCTGCCCTCTGAAACATCATTCCCCCAGAGATTAGACTTGCCCTGACCCTGCTGGCCTTTTGCAAGGCATTGAAAACTTGGCTTTGTCATCAAGCCTGGTGCTCTGATAGTTATGGGTGAACCTATTTCTTGGTCTTGGCTAAGTTAGCTGAGTTTCTCAGCTGCTACGTTGTTTTATGTTACTTCTATTGTTTTTACACTTGCTGTTTTTTATTACATTTTTATTGCATTATTACATTTTAACTTGTTAGCCACCCGGAGTCATCCATGAGATGGGTGGCGATATAATTATTTTTTTGAAAATAAATAAATATATACCACCTGCATTTTTAATAATGGGAATGCCCTCCCTTACTATTTCTCTGATAGAATTTATATAAGAATAACAGAATTGGGGAGAATTAGTCTACCTTCATCCCGATCTGTTCTCGGTGGGGGTCCTCTTCTTTCTCTCTCTTCACCACGTCGATCTCGAAGATCACGACCACCTCGGTCATCTCTAGAGTCACGACCACCTCTGTCCCATTCATCACGACGTCCTGAATCCCTCCAGCTAGAGGGTTCCTCAGATGGTCCTCTTCTCCAGCCAGTGTCATCCCTTTAATTATAAAAAGTTATTTCAGTCCTAAAGAAAGGACCTTCAATTAATATTATCTGCAAGAGAATGACTTATATCATCAGTATTTTCATGTACATTGCAAATTATCACTGGGAAAAAAACAAGTTTTAAAAAAAGATAATGGGCATTTAAAATGCCTTTGAAAAAATAAAATATAGGTTGTCCTTGGTTAATAACCACTTGTTCAGCAATCCTTCAAAGTTACAATGGCACTGAACGAATGGTACTTAACAACTAATCCTTAAAGTTCCAGCCATCCCAGCACCCCAGCAATCATGTGATCGTGACCTGGGCACTTGGCAACCAGCTCTCACTTATGATGGTTGCAGCTTCCCACGGTCACATGATCAAAGTAGGTATGGTGGGAGAAGCCAGCAAAAGACTGACTGACTTTGAAATGGGCCAAATAAGGCCAGGGGACTGCAGGAGAAAATCCAAAAAGGCAGTAGGGCAGTCACGTAGGATATTGGTGACCGCTCTATTCTAAGCCCCCTTCCTTCTTGGTCACAATTCAAAGTAGAGTGCATGAAGCTTATTTCATGCTTCACAATGCACGTGCATATATACAAAAATATACGGATGCAACACAAAAAGGAAAACAGAACTACACGTACTTATATACATGCAGAGACAACACATACACACCACCCTGATTAGACTGTCACAGTACACACAAAGGCAAAACGTGCATACATCCTAATCAGTTCCTAGGGAGTAAGTGCAAACACATAGAGAGACATACCAAAGCAACATATTATTCTGTTACGTAGAACATATGGACACCTCCTACTGCTTATAAAGGGAGTGGAAAGAATTTAAGAAACCATGCTCTGCATGCTTTTCCTATATTGTTTAAAACTTACAGTATAACAAAATAATTTTTTTTAAAACGTGGCCATTTTTTATGGCCACCAAGCACACATTGCTCACATACTCTAATATATATTTCCTATATCCCAATATTTCTTGTCATAGAATACCAGACACAACACTAATCTATCAAAACTACCTCCTGGTTCATAAAGAAAAAAATAAATCAACGAACACTGTTAAAATGTAGTAAAGCCTAACCTAGGACGCCTAAAACCTTCCCGATCAAAGTCACGGTCTTTGTCAAATTCTCTTTCCTTTTCATTTTCATCATGGTCTTTATCTCTATCCCATTCACGATCTTCTGAAGGTCTGGAATCCCGTGGAGGTCCCCAGCTGTCTTCTCGAGCCTTTTCTCGTTCTCGCCATCCACCTAACAGCAGCAAAACATCAACTTTTTAAGGCTAATTTCAACAACACAGGAACATGGAATTTCCATTTGTGCAAGGTGTCTCTAGCTGAGTTCCCCATTTTCCCATCATCCCTGCAATGTCTTTTGCCACATCCCACAATCTTCCAAAAGAACTTGATTGACAGGATTAATTTTTGGGAGCTCACAAATCTGTAATAAGGAAAAACTAGAAAAAATTTATTCCAGAAGTATGTTCTAAGCCATTTTTTCCTACTCAGTGGTAAAGCAATGAATATAAGAAAGCAATGGAAGAGAGCTGAATTTAGGTAGTTATCTACAAGTTTAACAAGTAAGAAACCTTTCAAACAGATTAAAAACAAAAACCACATTTGTTTTCCACTTAACTACACTGGATAAAGTCTGTCTATAATAAGTAGCTGCCAGACACTGCCATCTGGTCTTAACCATAAAGATTTGAGAAAATCTCATTCCCAAGTTGCCCAGAACATTATGTTGACAGATGCAAATAGGACCTTTTCATAAAAAGCAGCAATTATTAAAGTGTTAATCGCAAAATCAATTTTAAAAATTTAAATACTCAAATGTTCAGATATGTCAGTATTCTTATACAGGTTTTATAAGATCCAGGATGGGTTCACCAAAGTTTTTTATGATTTTAAATATCTACAACAGAGACTCCTGAGTCAAACTCAAATCCTGCTGATTAATAGGCAAGTTCACTTACTTTTCTTTTTCATTTTCTTCACAACAATACAGAAGTGATTTGCCACTGGTATCTTGAAAAACTTTTTTTTTTTTCAATTTCTCAATGTAGCGCACAGATCTGGAATTTCTTACTGGTTTTTTCTCCTCATATCAATCTGGTTCAACCCCACTTAGCTTTTTAAAAGTCAGCCAAGATAAGGTAGGTGCTGCCACCTAATAGGGCAGATATCTATAGCAATATTTTATAATGGTCAGCACTGACTATCTGCCATTATATTTGTGCTCAATAATCAGATTACATATTAGAACTTCGACTGCCTCCATTTAATCATTCATTCACTCATTTACTAGTCAAAAAATAAAACTGCACAAAGGCAAAGGTTTTTAGCCTTTCATATCTTAAGTCCCACCAATCTATCAAAGAACTTTATTTTCACTATAATAGATGCAAAAAGCCTACTTTTTCCAAGAAAGATATTTATATAATTTACAATAATAAATGGTAATATGATTGTGGTAAGTTTTTACAATTTCATTAAAATTCAGTGACTTACCCTGTGCCCCACCTAGACTATTTCTTAGTCCCTCCTGTGAGAGGAATACCACCAGCTGAGAACTAGTGTATTATGGTAAATCTACTGGTTAGTAAAGGAATCAAGTTATTACAGTTAGGTGCCAAAATGTAAGGAGTGTAAAAAAAAAAAAAAAAAGATGGACACACCTTACTCCACTTTTCAATATTTAGTATCTGTATCTCTCATTTTTATATTGCTAATACATTTCTGGAAATGGATGATTAATCCATATCTGACAGAAAAACTTTTAGAACAAAATGTTTATATTCTTCAGGCATTTATAATAAAAAGTTAACAATTTGCATGAATTCATTTACCTGGTTTACCAAACGGTCTCCAAGGTCCAGGCCTGGAATCATCTCCACGTCTAGGACCTCTGTCATCATCCAACCGTCTGGGTCCTCGATCATCATCTGTGTTACGCCAAGGTCCCCTATCCTCATCACGCCTTGAAATTCTATCATCATCCAGCCCGCGCCTGGGCCCCCGGTCATCATCCAGCCCGCGCCTGGGCCCTCGGTCATCATCCAGCCCACGCCTGGGCCCTCTGTCTTCATCCAGCCCACGCCTGGGCCCTCTGTCTTCATCCATGTTACGCCAACTTGGTCTGTCATCGTCCAAGCCACGCCTAGGTCCCCTGTCGTCGTCCAAGCCACGCCTGGGGCCCCTGTCGTCGTCCAAGCCACGCCTGGGGCCCCTGTCGTCGTCCAAGCCACGCCTGGGGCCCCTGTCGTCGTCCAAGCCACGCCTGGGGCCCCTGTCGTCGTCCAAGCCACGCCTGGGGCCCCTGTCATCTCCAGTTGAACGCCAACTTGTTCTGTCATCATCTAGGACTTTCTTAGGACCCTTGTCTTCCTCATCAAGTTTCAATACGTTATCTTCTGGTGCTTCATTGGGAGTCTCTCCTGCCTCTTGTGGTGTAGTATGTTTAACCACATCGTCTTTTTGTAAAGTTTTTTCATCATCACGTACTTCCCCACGACGCCACTCTCTAATCAAACAAAACCAGAAATTTTGTTTTCAGATGTCCAAAACCCAATAACTACAAATTACACATGATTTCTCATCTCAAAGATACTCCTGTGAGCAACTAGCTCTTAACACATGCGTTCATATATTAGGAAGCCACAAATTCCTGTGGATGGGTATAAATAGCAAAATGCATCTTAAAAAATCATACTAGTCTTCTGAGACAATAAAAGTTATGGCTCACATGTTTTGCTGGTTTGTCAACAGAAACAATGCAAGTTATTTGTTCAATTTCATTATTGTGAAATGGGGTATTAACAAACCTACCCTCTGCAGTTTACAGGAACTTCTAAAACTAGGTACCATGAGACACTTACTATAGGCAAGCAACCACAAACAGACATCAATATCTATATGCAGGTTAAACAAAATTTCTTAGATAAAAGTGCCTTCTGTATAAAAAAAAAGTATATTACATGTAGTGTGAACTTAACAAAATAGCAAATATGACAATGAGCCACTCAATTTTAATTCCAACCGTGTGTATAAACTAGTTGATAAAAGAAAAAGGAATCACCCAGTGCATTCTAAATCAAGTATTCTAGAATATTCAAAGATGGGAACAGAAATTCTGTTATGCACATTGATTTGTTATGTATTTACCAGATGTGCACGGAACTACAGACTTGTAACTATATTTGTCTCAGATTCCAAGTAATCAGGTAATTTTGCCTTGGGTTTTATTCTACTCTGAAAATGCGTAACAGTTAGAAGCAAACATTCTACTATTTAAATTCCTGCCTAGCTCCCACTAAAGCCTGCTTTCGCTCTAAAAGACAGCAATAGATGAATACTAAAATGAGCTATAAAAAGGGAAATCATTCATATTAGGAGAATAACATACAGATACTAAAGTAAGACATACAACACTGCCAAAGCTGTAGTAGATTAGTGTTTCTCAAACAAAATTGCTGAGTTTGAGAAACACTGCTGTAGATGAAGGAAGAAAGTGGTCTATTTTTTCAATGAAATGAAGAGAAAGATAATGTGGAATGATTAGGGAAAAAGAAGAAAAAATATATGGCACTCAAAACAGAGGGATATGAAGTTAAATGCAGGACAATTGCTCTGGGGGCAGAGCAATATTCTTATAAGTACTACAATCTTCTGCTAATTGAATAGTTTTGTTTAATAATTTAAAAAATTGTAGGCTGCATACTTCAGTTTATCTTGTTCTTTTGTGCCCTCCTACTCTCTGGTTATTATTTCCTGCTGAGCAAACTAAACATTTCTCACAGATTACTTTCTTAGAATTTTAAGGATTTAGCTAGATGTGTCATTTAAGGAGATATGAAGTTTACAGAAAATGTGCATACCAGTTAATTTCAAGAACTGAACATCCAGTATTGCAAGTGTCATAAATCAGTGAGCTTGGCCTACTGATATACTTTATTCTGAATGTAGGATGAGGAGGATCCAAGACTAAATTTGCAACTCCAAAGGCAAAGAAGTACAAAAAGACAAAGCATGCAAATATGTGTGGTGATGGTGAGCACATAACCAACCAAATTAACTCATTTTATCCACAGACCTCATGGAAAGCGCTGCCCACCCACCCTCCTACCTGGCAGCAACATGTCTTTATTTTGGCTGCCTTGAACAGAAAAGAGGAAGGATATGTGATCAAAACTGGAACAAGCTTGTTTTGGGAATTCTTATCTGAAATGTATAAAATGACAAGGCTGCTCTGAGTACCCAATGCTGTTCTCAAGGAGCAAGACACAGGATGGTGAAAACTAGGGATGCCAGAGCACTTTTCTACTTTAAAACAAAGAAGGATAGCAGCTGGTGAACAGGTGAGGCATTCTTAGGTGGCTAGCATATACCAAAACAATGTCAAATGAATAGTCTGCCAGCACCTTATAGAAATCAGAGCAGTAAGAAAAACAAAGATAACCAACAGAGGCTGGAATGCAACTTCATTTGGAGAGGTTTTCTCAAATTGTTTTGTTACACAAAGGAAGGAAATAGGAATAACTGGCAAACAATCCTCGCAACTGTGCTACCCCAGAGGCAAAAGAAATTTTAATCAGGATAAATACAAACAAAAAGGAAAAAAAAATTACACAGCACTCATACACTGCCTACCCTGGGCAGGAACAAAAAAAAAAAAAAAAAAAAGGACCATGTCCAGCATCTTCAGTATGGGTCCCAATTCTTTTCCTTCTGGGTTCCAGGAAGGCCTTTCAGACTTATATTGACCCTACTGTCTACAGGCAATCTATCTCCAACCCCATTTCCTCTGGGGTCCTACTTACCTTCCCCACACAATTCTCTCTGAAATCGACTACAACAGAAAAATTGATGTGGGGGAGGAGATTTTAACTGGAAAGTCAACTGAAACCAACCCCATGTTGGAGAAAGTGAGTGCCATAAATCTCAACTCACTGATGCAAAATTCATGTTCAGTCCCATCTGGCTCGCCAAAATCCAAAACCCAATAAAGGCAATCAGAGAGAATCATAGCTGCAGCAAAATATTTTACTTAACTCATTACGGGTCAGAACAGGTTCCTACAATCACCCAGAGAGTTAAGACAAAGAGATTAAAAATGGCTTTCCTATTTATAGGCTATGGAATACCATATTTGTCCATCAATAAGACGCCCCCATGTACAAAACGACCCCCACTTTTCCAACCCAAAATTAAGAAATCAATATTTTAAAGATAGTGCA